GTCGTCAATCGTCATGCAGCCGTTATAATGGCAATTTTAAATTGGACCAATCAGTGTTGGCTATTCATTACAGTCCGCTATATTATGAGATCAGTGAGGATGACCCAGTGAACTCTAATAATAAATGGAAGGGTAAGTCAGGGGGGGTGGGAGTTGAAGCCGTGCTCAGTGAACTCTAATAACTAGAAAATACATGCATGCAGAAACCCTCGCCTTCCCGACAAAACCATTGTATTTTCGAACATGAAGTTCTAAAGTAGTTGTCATGGTAACACGATAATTCTTTAAGAATATTCTTACAAATGAAAAATCGCCTAAAAATATCACTTTTAATTACAAAATTATTAATTTCCCAACATAAATATATGTTAGGTATGTTTTTATACGTAATATAAGCCTCAATTTAAGGTAAAATTCAACCACAAACGCTTCGCAAAACGTTTTAAGTCACTAGTGTTCTTTATAAAACTAAACTGCCTTTTAAAATGGCTTTATCGATAAACTTTGAGTTAGCAATAAAATGATTTCAAATTCTGGCTTGCAAATAACTCAGTGCTTTCTTTTTTATTTAGAAATTCAATATCATAAAAAAGGGAATCAATATTAAAGATACACTAAAATTATATGCTGTTTGTTTAGTTGTTTTATATACGCAAAGGCCGTCGGGTTTTAAAGCCATTATAAAATCAATATTTAAAACAAACTTACCTTCGTTAACGTCGGCTCCCTTCTTTTAGACGATTCTTTCGCAGTTTCATTTTGAGAGAGCTTTTGAAATTTACAAAATCTTGCAAAAATGCGAGTAAAAATGAAATATATTTGCAAGAAATTTATCAATCATCAAATGGCAAGAAATGTTTGCTATTTCGCTGTCGTGATACATTCGTGCCAGTCGTTATAATGCAAAATTTAAATTGGACCAATCAGTGTCCGCTATTCATGACAGTCCGCCATATTTTTGAGATCAGTGAGGATGACCACCCATCGTTGGTCACCCACGCCCGCGATATTTGATGAACTTTAGACTCCGCTAATGCTTTCGTTTCCCCGGGTGTAAATAGCCGGGGGGAATTAGTACCCTCGCACGGCGCTTCGCGCCGTCGGCTCGGGGATTAAAAGTGCAATACATTTGACCTTGATAACTTTAGTATTGTTGGTTTTCTCTTTTTCGGCCGTACACCAGTGGATTCGTCTCACTTTTCTCTTTATTTTGTTAGTAGTTTGAGCCCAAAATATTATATTTTGAAGCTTTTAATGTGCAGTTTTAATAAGCGAAATTGTATTGTTTACAAATCGCTCAAAATTACTAAACTAATTAAAAATGCCGTCCGTTTGATCCTTGATAACTTCGGAATTGTTGGGTTTTCTCGTTTTCGGCCGTATGCCAGTGGATTCGTCTCACTTTTCTCTTCATTTTGATAGTATTTTGAGCCCAAAATATTATATTTTGAAGGCTTTAAAACGCAGTTTCGACCCTAACGTACGGACCAACTGGCGGCCGACAGGACACAGGAGAATGTAGCGTGCTAAATATTAAACTAGGGTACCTGCAAAGGTAGGGATTGCTGCGGGCATTAAAAGCAAATAAAACCACAGTAAAGAGCACAAATTATATCAAGCACAGTGATTACTCGCAGCGACTAGTGAGCTGTGAATGGAACTGAAAAGAAGGACTAGAAGCAATATATATTGAAGTAGCAAAGATTGAAGTAGCAAAGACCAGGGTAGCCTGCATGGCAGGCGGTATTTCTACGGGCAGCGAAAATTAGGGAAGCAAAGGAAATACCGTCTGCCGCAAAACTAGGGGTTTTTGAATTACCCGTCCGCTGGTGAACGGGAAAAACGGATTGGTTAGTATTTTTATGTAGTTGTCAATCAACGGCTAAATTCGGTTAAATGTTAATCAGTAACCAAATGTTTTGACGTTTTGAAACTCTGCGTTTTGAAATTAGTTCACGTCAAGTCAGACCAGAAATGGAATAACATAATAAAAGAAGCAAATTAAAAGATACAAGCTGAAAAATAACACTCTAAATAGTGTTATTGATAGAGATTCGAACAAGAATATTTAACAAAGAAGATACGTCCGAAGGGGCCGAAGTTATGATCGGCGAAAGGGATGGGCTAGTCTATATTTTCGTTCAGACAATTACATGCGTATTAATTTGATAATATACTATCTCGCTTGACTTTCAAAGGCCATAAATCGCAATAATGTTGACATTTTACTAAAACTATCGATAGAAATTCGGAGATATTTCTTCACTGAATCGAACAGTGGGATTTCCATATAGGCCTATCAGTCATGTTCTGAACCAAAGATACTTGATAGATATTATATACGAACCTCCAAAGTATAAACAAGGGGCCGGTTGATGCAGTAATTATCAAATAACAGTTAAACTCTTATATACCCGTTGAATATGTATAGTTGTAAACAAATAAAAACTATCGTTCTATAAGGTTCAATACTTTCAGTATGACTTGCATATAAGTATAGACTTGCATGCCTTGTATTTTGAGCTTATTAAACCACCGTTTTAAGGCAGCTAAACGGCTAAACGGGCTTGGTTTATATTAACACATAAAATAAATTCCTTGATTCTCATCACTAGACACAGTCTCCACTTTGAAATGTCGAAGACAGTGGGAGATTTATTTTTTTATATTTTATATTTATATAATTTATATATAAATAGTTCGTATCTCCACGAACAATGACAGAATGACTGAGTTTCTTTAAAATACAATGAAATTTCACTCAAAATTCTGTTTGTTTCAAATTGGAAGTTTAAAATGGCAATAAAAACTCTTTTTAAAATATGAAAAAATTAACTGTCTTGAATTATTTTGTCGGGCGGTACATTTATATTGTATAACGAAAAATAAAACGTTTTCACGAGGATTTTAAAATTCAGTCGGGCGGTGATGAGAATCAAGGAATTTATTTTATGTTGGGCAGTTGGGACTTGGGAGCAGCTTGGGAGTGGCTAATTTTGAATATTTACTTAATGCTCTATAAATAGCGTTGATGCTTCAGGGGCGGTAGTTCATTTACACCCAGTTTTGCGGCAGGCGGTATTTCCTACGTACCGCCTGCCATGCAGGCTAAGACCAGGGTTAAAGGGCAATCAGAGGTGACATTAATTTTATTAAACATGTGCGTCTCATTGACATACAGGTAAATTAAGATCAGATTTCATATCAAGTCTGTCAAGTCATATCTGCTAGGTGCATTTACCACATTATATAGACTATATACACAGATTTATCACACTAAGAAACCAAAACTTTATAAAAAATATAGAACTGACAGTGGCCAAAGTCCAAAACAAATGTAAGCGTAACATTAGACGTCACATGAAAAAACTTTAGAAATTCGATAAAAATTCGATGGTGGGTCCTCGCGCGCTCACTTTTCCCTCACTAGAAACAACTTCATGTATTAACCAACAGGGGGAATCTAGGGGCCCCATCTAGCGTATTATTTTATATAAGTTTACTTGTAGGCGAAACGCCAGAAATTTTTTTTGCAGGGCACCGCATTTTAGTACTGTGTCTGGTTATCGTATTGTTCTGCTTTACACCTGTCAACGCGATAAGGGGAAAAATCGAGTGCATTGAGGGGGAACATATCCCCGAGGTGCCTCAAAATAACGCACTTATTTTTCACATTGCGAGATCGCGTTAATGAGTCACAATAGAAATAATTCTTAATGCCATATTGCCTTCGTTATGTTGTTTTTTCTCATTTTTTGTGCTGCAAAGACATTGCACTAGGTGAATATTAGAGGCAGGGGCGTAGCATGACCTTTTTAACTGGGGGGGTGTAACATCTAAGTTTTACCGACCCACGCGCCACGAGGCGCCACCATGGTTGGCGCCGAGCGGAAAATTTTTGAAAATATGGAGTCTCAGTCTAGATCGTTGGAAATGGCATTTTCAGAGCCTTCTGTACCTTATACACACAAGGTTTGGTAGCTTTTATTTATATCAAACAAAACCATATTGTTGAAGTTGTGTTATTTTCGAAATCCGTGAGAATCCGTCAGATATTAACAAGCTGTGAGACTGTGAGTGTGAGCTCACCGTGAGGTTTTATTAGAATCCGTGACTGCCCCTTATACGTTACATATAACATATAACATATACCATAACAGCTATACAGCAATTGACAAATAAATATTTCGGCGCGCGTTTAATTAATTTAATGACACTTACCGTGACTTTAGTCTGCCGTCTAGAAATAACGTAGAACCAGAAACGTAGCAAACCGCAAACGCTTTATTAATGGTCATTAATTGGAATAATTGTTGTCTTTGTTACTTCGCGATAAGTCATTTTACTCAATGGCATTTATCTTGTTGTTTATTGTAATGAACAGACTTGAAAAATTGGCGAAACATTTTATGAGCACCGCGTGTCAATAACAAATATATAAATATAATCTTTAATTCTTTTGCGTATCATTTTATCAAGCACAGTTGAACATGTCCAATCAGAACCGACTGTTTTCGCAGCTCTTGCAAGTGTAATACGATAGGAAATTAGGGGCTCCAATGCTTATGCGTAGATATTTAATATAAGTGTTTTAATACTGAAGAATTACGTACATTTTGCATAACTTTATTGGAGAACAAGGCACAACATTAATCTAATTTTTTTTTATTATTAAAAGCCATTTACCGAGGAGCAAAATTCCACTTTAACCGATTTGTTTTACCGACCGCTGTCATGGCTCTTGCCATTACCGAATAACTTCGCGTTTTACCGACTACCTCACTAAAACTGGGGGGTGTCACACACCCCCACACCCCCCCGCACGCTACGCCCCTGATTAGAGGGGATTATTAAACGGAAAGGGTGAAAAATAAGAAGCCATAGTGCCATACTATGCCACATTCCAAGACGAAGATGAATTATATTTTGGTAAAATATTGACACCATGGAAAATGTAGAACATATATCTTATTAGGTACAAATGTGTACTGCACACAGTATTATTTCCTTACCCTTGTTTTCCACTTGCTTCCATCATTTCCTTCACCTTGTATCAACAGCTCTAAACCAACTGGTTGTAATATCATCCCAGGTACACCTCTCAAGAAGCAGGTAAAAGATATCAACTCCTTTGAGTTAGGGATTAGTGCTCTCGGTGGAAGGGAAATGTATGTCAGACATCGATCTGTACAGTTGGCAATAACATAACCTCCAAATAATTTGTCCAAAATATGATGCGCTTTCGTACCAAAGTCATTAATGATTTCAGCGCGAATAGCTAAATTATGTTTGTTGATTGGGCGAGCATGAAATGGGATTGTACGATTAGTAAGAAGAGTGTAGGGCTCGTGTCTTATTGGTTTATCAAAGTAAACTAATATTTCCTCAACAACTCGTGGGGATACAGCTCCTTTGAATATGACAACATTTGCAGCCCGAGTTGGTTTTGTTCCGTTGCCGTCAAGGTATGCAATGGCGTCGTCTTTGTTAGGATTCTGTAGTTCAATCAAGAAAATGTAGTTTGAATTGATCGTGGCTTTTTCAAAAGGAGTGACGTTCAGCGAAGCAACGTTCAAGATGTAGTCACGCACGTGAATAAGTTCATCTTCAGATAAATCTCGATACAGATCCCGAGATTTCATGTACTGTGGCTTTAAGGTAGTCTTCTGCGGGCAAGATGAAAATTCAGAATTGCGTAAGTTGCCTCTATCGTCTGACTTGTTAACCGACACTACAACAAGAGCAGCAACAAGACCTACAATTATTAGCACCAGAATACCGATGGTGATTTTAAATCTTGCAGGAAGAACATTCTCTGATTTCGCCATTAACATTGCTTAATTGGCAAACTGCTGCAATTTTTTAATCTATTTCGTAGCCTGAATAGTACAATTATAGATTTTTTTCAACAGACAGTCAGGACAGCATAATTTACTGTCGGAGGCCAAATAAAAATAATAGTTGGTTTCAGGTTTCCGACCGACCTGTCAAAAATATGACCGACCATAAACATTTTATTGACATTTCCAAGTAGTCAAGTAGAGCTTTATGCTTTTCTTGCATGTCAAGTTTTATATGTATGCAGGTGAAAACCTGATGTAAAAACAATGAAAACTAAGAGTTTATAATGAGTTTTAACTTATATTTATTGCATACTTAGATAAAATATTTTTTTAAATAAAACGTTTTTCCGACCTACCTACCCATATAAAACATGGCTGTGAAACCTGAAACCAACTATTATTTTTCAGTGCCTTTTTTAAGGAATTTTCACTGGGGCAAAACAGGGAAAAAGGCAGAACGAAAATTATGAGCCGTCGAGGTTTGGCGAACGCGCGAGTCTGAAGAGAGATTTTGTAAAACTTTAATTTATTAACTTCACCTATATTTTACTTTAAACAATAACTTCAACTCTTTGTAGCAGCTATAATCGTACAGCTATAACCAGTGGTGTAGCCAGACATTCGTTTTTTTTGGGGGGAGGCGAACCTCACCTCACGCAGAAGGCGTGAGAACGTCTAGGAGGGTCCGGGGGCATGCACCCCCAGGAAAATTTTGAAATCTAGGGTCCCTGAACTGCGATTTCAAGCATTTTGGGGGTGAAATCTAGCAAAATTCCGAAGATTATAAAGTACATCGAAGACGTGAATTTTTCCAGACATTTCTACTCGGAATTAAATAAGTTGGAAAAGTCACCTTGAAAAATAGGAGGAGGGGTCAGTGTCACCCCATTTCCGCATTCTTTTTCATACGATATACAGAATAAATCTGAGAAGAATTATTCATGCTATGCATGATGATGCATACATGTACTTAACAGTTAAAAATTTAAACTAAATCTATTCTTCTTTGAACCGGCATTTTATCGGATGGTTTGCATGAAATCTATCGCTATTATGAAATACTCGGTGAAGAACAATATGAATTACACACAAGATGGCTGTGGAGGAGGCTATGGAAGGGCATAATCTCATTATCAAGTAAGTCAACTGCAATTCTGACAGCAATCATGAGCAATTCTGCTTCGCACTTCGGGGGCAGAAATGGCTTTACTGGGGGGGTCAAATTCTTTCCCTGGGTGGGCAATTGCCCCCCCCCAGATATATAGTTAAAAAAGGCACTGTTATTTTTATTTGGCCTGATCTATATCAAGTTACACAGACGGTCCTAGGAATGTGTCGTCATATTTTTAATAAATCACACGTACTTATTATAGTATCATACAATAACATGAGGCGCCAAATATGACAAAATAGATCATAGTTGTGTGATATATATTACTGCAAATATATACAGTATAACTCGTGATGAATAGGTTACTCTTCCAAATATATAAATATTGAAAGCGCGTGATATACATTACAAATCATGGTTTATATCACAACTCGTGATATAGATCACAATTCACAATGCAGCTCGTGATATAGGTTACAAATCATGGTTTATATCACAACTCGTGATATAGATCACAAACCACAATGCAGCTCGTGATATAGGTTACAATTTCGCGTTCGGAATTACTTCATCTTACGACCCATATAGTGGACGGAGGGCTATTTTATATTCCAGGGGGGGGGGGACATTACATTGGACCATTAATTGGACGACATTCATTGTTGATGCTTCGCGCCTTCGCTTCGATTTTGAGCTGTAACTGACCGTCGTAAACACTGCGGAAGCTTACGTTTTCATGTACCCACTTTTTTCAGGTGACCGGGCAAAAAATGATCAACTGTGCAGTGTGCAAGTTCCGCGAGCAGTTAAAGTGAGTCGTCATGCAATTGGATCAGTGCATCTAGTAACTTGCCGAGCATGCGCACAAAAAAATGGGCACAGTAATTATAACTCTGTATGTCTCTACTCTGTGGTAGTGTACACAAAAGTTACCACAATTAATGCATTAGGGCATGGAACATTGTAAACACGGCGTAGAATGGCAACACTTCGCCTCAAAGCACGACTTAAAGGTCTACACTGCAAATTGCATTTCTCACTTTCCATCGTTGAATATGAATATTTCGTTGCCCTAGGGCGCCCAACACAAACGTTTCGCCAGCGTTAGGTAAAATCTGGAGAACCTCTCGAACAACATTACACAAATCAGTATGGGTAATTTAAGTAAACGTGTTTCGTGGCCCACTTGTGTTGCTGACTGGTAAGCGGTACTCGTGGCGTCGTCGTAATATAGTTCGGTAGCTCACTCCAATTTCCGCAGCAACTTGAGACCATCAGCTGCGGTGTATCCCATGTAAGTTGGTCAAAGCATTCTGCAGATGACTGTACCGTCTTCTTCCTTTTTGAACAATTCTCTCTAATGGACAAGTAAAACTCAGCGGGTTAGCTAAGTTCTCATTTCTGATCCAAAGCGCGTCGTAACTATTGCACAATGATTGCAATTCAGACACCAAAATACCAAGATCATTCTGAATTAATTTGTCGATCGTCAATGCGTTCTATTGCACGCTGGAGAAGTATATTTACAACAAATAAATTGTCTTCTAGGCGTCGCTGGATAAACTCAACAACATTGATATTGTCACAAAATAATTGACGACGCGCCTCTGTAATTTGAATTGGAATATTTCTCAAGAAAGCTTCGATGTTTATTTCTTGGCTTGTATGGACCTTTCCCCTTATAACTAAAATTTTAATCTAGAGAAAAATTTCATCACCGGTTGAAAGAGCGTCACAAAATTAGTAATATTGCGAAGTTTGCCGTTTTTCAGTCATTTTGTATTACGCACAGGAAATTGACAGCCCAATACACCCTTTTCATAAATGGTTGCCGATTAAAAATTCTTTTATGTGCATATAAATTGGCCCAACTAGCCTCGTACTCATGTTAAGATTTCAAAGGAATTTCTACCCAGAAACGAGGCTTGTTGGGCCAATTGATATGCACATAAAATAATTTTTAATCGGCAGCCATTTATGAAAAGGGTGTATTGGGTGTTGGGGCATCAATTTCCCGTTTGTAATACAAAATGACTAAAAATTGCAAATTTCGCAAGGCTATATTATCCGCATTTTACAACATTTCGCAACGAAACTTTGGAATATTACTAATTTTGTGATGCTCTTTCAAGCTGGATGAAATTTTTGGCTAGATTTGTCTAGATCAAAATTTTAGTTATAAGGGGAAAGGTCCATTCATGGCGCAATTTTGAAACCATGAAAACATTTTAAAATTTGAAACATTCCCTTCCCCCCCTCCCCCCCCGCGGAATATAAAATAGCCTTCCGTCCACTATATGGGTCATAAGATGAAGTAATTCCGAACGCGAAATTGTAACCTATATCACGAGCTGCATTGTGGATTGTGATCCGTATATCACGAGTTGTGATATAAATCATGATTTGTGATGTATATCACGTACGCGCTTACAATATTTAAATATTTGGAAGAATAACCTATTCATCACGAGTTATACCGTATATATTTGCAGTAATATATATCACACAACTATGATCTATTTTGTCATATTTGGCGCCTCATAGCGGGGAGTCGTCTAACTTCAAACATCAAAATAACATTGAAAATAAAGTTTACCTCAGAGATTTTTGCAGATATCACCAGATCTTTAGTAGTAGTACTACAACACTTGAGATTTTGCCAGAAAATTTTAATATTAATATTTTTTCCGATTTATTTTCCGTCGAATGCAAATTTTTCTGTCCAAATTCTGCAGATAACACGATGGAAAATCTCACGTGACAACTCGCTAATTAGCTGTCCAACCTCCTCTGGTTCTTAAAAGCCAAATAAATTCTTTGTGTTGGAATATTGCAACGCCCAACAGGAAAATTGCAAATTCCCTGAAGGATTTCCAAAGAGTTTTTCAAATTTGCAAAGCTAATTATGAAAATTCCAAATGAGTTAGGAACTCAAAAGAGGAACGCTTCACGTAGTTTACCTTGTAAACGTATGTTTACATATTAAAGTGTATTCACTTTTGAGTGACAGCGGCTCATACTCGCAACCAATCATCAATTCCCGTCCACTGGTGACGGGGAATTCGATTACACTGCCAAACCCAGCAGGCGGTATTTCCCAGGCTTGCCCAATTTTAGGAACCGCCTGCCATGCAGGCTATCACCATGGTAACGGACTTTCAGCGCAAAAGTAGTAAATTGCAATGTTCAGAAGAGCATTGTCAATGTGTCCAATAAATTTCGTCTTCGTGTCATGTGCAGTGAAGAAACAGGAGTTTTCTGGATACAAAAGTGTAGTATAATGCAAAAACCCTATGGAGCCACCTTAAAATAGTTTTTTTATTATTATTTTATGACTTTTAAACACAGAAATCACTCGTGGTCACTCGTGGTCATTTGTGGTCACTCGTGTGTACTTTTAGACAAGACTGTCCAGGCGTGAGATTTATCATTTGTCAGCGTCCCTCAAGCGTCGCGATAAAACTGAAATCACCTCGCCCCTATATGATAACTTAATACAGATCACCACCGTTTGTATAAAGCTTTACCAGTTGTTTTTTACAAATAAAATATTAATAATAAACTCCATAATTTACAATAGTCAATATACTCTAAATCTTACATAACTTTAATTACCAATATGAATTAATTAACTTTATATATAAAGTATAATCTCTATTTTATTAATATAATGTTAATCTCATCACTTGCTTTGCTCGTGTTTAACACTCATTTTTCATCAATCAAAGTATTTCTTCCCTAATTTACCATTCACTTTTGTTTAGTAAAATCAGTCGTTGGGGGTGGGGGTGGGTGGATGTGTGTCATTTTAGGTGGATGTGCAGGGTCGCCGAGAGGGGGGGGCAGGGAGGGGGGAGAAATTGCCTCGGGCCCCGAGGTGCTGGGGGCCCCTGAAAATTTTTGTGGGTTAAATATTTCCGCGTAAAGGGCAAGATATTTGTTTTTTGGGTTAAGTACCGAAATTTGGTATGGAAAATTGAGATAAAGTTCCTGGAAAGCAATTGCAAAGCACTCGTCCGGAAAATTTTTTTCTTGTCGACGGGGGGGGGGGAGTTGTACCCAAAAAAAAATTTTGAAATAGGGGCCCCTAAAAAAATTTGCCCCGGGCCTCAGCCAACCTCTCGGCGGCCCTGTGGATGTGTGTCATTTAGGTGGATGTGTGTCATTTAGGTGGATGTGTGTCATTTAGGTGGATGTGTGTCATTTAGGTGGATGTGTGTCATTTAGGTGGATGACATTGTATGTCATTTAGGTGAATGTGTGTCACAGAAAGAGGGAGGGCTAGTTGGAACCTGTGTATCTATCACTGTTCGTCGACACTCGATAAACTCAGCCATGACCACTTCATGTTATAGCTTATCAATGAACTGATTTTTCTCTTTTGCTTTTTGTCCTTCGTCATGACATACTTCAGTCTGTCTTGGCGAACCATACGGTGAAGATTCTTTGCCATTAGCACTAAAACGATCTACAAAAAAAATTAGATTGTAGACCTTTTAATTTGCCTTCAAGCTATAAGACTAAGTATCTATAATTATAAAACGACGTTTTCAATACTCTTCTTTACTTCATCACATGGAAATGAGTTGATGGTATAATTTCACGCGCATCTCTCAGAAGACGACTGGGAAATATATGAAGACAGTGACTAAGCTAAACAGTATTGTAAAGAAACACATGCACTATAGACATAGCTTAGGAAACTTAATTGATATTTGGGATGGAATGGAAGTATAGTGCAGGCAAGTGGACCCCTAGACTTAGACGTGTTGAAACCTGGCAATTCCAATGGGCAATGTAAACTGATTATTAAAGTTTACATGTAGAGTTCACGGTTAAAATTTGCAAACTATACACAGTTCGTGATGTTTTTACTTACGTAGATTCTCTAACGTTAACGATTCGGGTTCCGTCTTCCTAACTAAATATGAACAACACGAATAAGAACATTGAAATAACGTTTTTAAAGACGGTTCTTGATCAGTGGAAACTGAAATTTGAGTGTAAGTAAGAATTCAAACTGGGTCTGTGTATGTTTTGCAAATTTTACTTAAATTTCAAATGAACACAAGACATAATATTTACGCATTCATCTAGTAAATATATAAATTGGCTAAATAGTGAAATGTCTACCTTTTTTATTCAACGCTATTTTCAAGGCAAAAACGAATACAATGGAGAACATGCCAGCAAGAAACGCACCAATGATTGCCACAATGAAAATTGTGACATTCAGCCAGTTGTCAGTACATGGAACTGGGCTGTTTGGCTTTTGGGTTGCTGTAGAATGAAAATAAGTAAATAAGTTACGATTTGCTTTCATAAATCTACTGTAGGCCTACAACGTCCACACCATTAATGGTGTCCCTCGTCATTCTCTTTCTTTCAAAAATGGATTATCCTTCAACCTCTCTTGACAACAACAAGTAAACTACTGAGTACTGTACCTGCAGGTTTTGCCGACCCAATAATTTTCGTTGAATTTGGTGCTACCTCTGTACCTTGTGGTCCACTTAGCATAGGTGTTGTTGATGTTGTTGTTGATGTTGTTGTTGTTGGTGTTGTTGTTGATGTTATTACTGGTATCGTGGCAGGAGAGGCAACCACACTTGGGGTTATCGAGGACCGAGGACACGAGGATAATTTACAATTCTTAGTACCGGTCAAAGCTGGAAAATATAATAAATGGTTTAGTCAAATTAAGGGTTGAAAGCAGTTGCAGTTACAATTGAATGGGATTAACAAGGTACCCTAGCCTCCTTTGACCTTGTCACATTTACATGCAATGTCATGCTAATTTTGGAAGACACCCCTTACTTAAATTGTATACAGATATCGATTGTGCTATATTTATATGTATATACAGCTATTTCAATTAAGGTTGTCCCCCGAGCAAATCGGAAAAGTCGAATGCGAGCGCGAAAGGCTGCTGGGAATCGCTAATAAACTCATTCATTTATTAGCGATTCCCAGAACTCAGAAGCCTTTCGCGCTCGTATTCGACTTTTCCGCTTTGCTCAGGGGACAATCTTAATTGAAATAGCTGTATACATAATATTTATAAAAATATTTATCTGCTGCACTGCTTTTGATATCTGTCCGGACGTGCTGTAACACGCATATATGCGTAACAAACATAGACGATTTCTCTTAATCCGATTCAAAAAGCACGATTTTCTGTATTGATAAGAATCATAAGATAATGGAACATTCTGCCACTGAATCGTGACTGGATGCCACTTTTATTTAATTTTATTATGCTACACTTGTATTATGAAAAGGGCCCTTTGACTGACTTTCCAATTCCAAAATATTTCACATTTTTATATCACTCAATTTTTTTCATAGCGCACCTAGCACATCAACACCATTCTTTTATTCTTTACCGTATAAATTAATTTAAAAATCATTAATAATTCAGGAGCAAAACACAAAGAAAAATCATAAGCGTGTCGTGGTTTTATATGTGATAAAAAATCATGTTAATTCACATAAACTTTAGCTTTGATTTTCTCGGTTTAGACAAAGTTTATTTTAAAAATTACTTCGCCAATGAACTCGTATAAGATGAGTCGTTTTTTAAGCTATTTAAAGCACTTGTATAGTCGTGTTTTATCACATATAAAACACTCCGCTACGCGTCGTGTTTTATATGTGATAAAACACTCCTACGCGTGCTTAGTCACTTCTACTTTGTAGATAGTCACTTCAGTACTAGTACATAGTCACTTCTACTTTGTTTTAATAAATATGGTAATTTGTTATATGTAGTGTAGATTGTACTTTGTAGTTTATTCAGCTACTATAGATTGCGCTATTATATTAGGTTAACGCTTTATTAATACCTGCAAGAAAGGTCATGCCAATAAAATCTATTAATTCCAATTTTATTATCGACATTTTTAAAAACATACCACTACCTCTAAATGTTAATTTAGCATGGAACTAAAATATTTTGTCAAGTACATCCCATATGGAAATACTACTTTCTTAATACCTGCTTTATCGAAGTTCATGCCGTATACTGCCCTCTTATTATCTGTTACGTTAACAGCAAAAAGCATAGTGCATTTTGCTTCTTTGCTCGATAGAGTAGATGCTCTGCCATCATCACCATTGTCTATACAATATAAAACGATGGCATCATTACATGAACTATATGAACCTTTCAGAAAACCATACAATTATCATCAGACAGAATAAAGTGGGTGAGCAGATGTTGTAGCTGAGAAACGTCGATGTGTTTCTGAGAGGCGGGACGTTCTTTGTCCCGTCGTGACAAAGGGACACCCATATATTGCAATGTCAGCATAATATCGTCCCGGCCAGGCGGGACGAATTGTTTATATGGAAATAGCATAATATCGTCCCGGCACAAAAAAACGACCCACTTCCACAAAAACATCTGGTGATAAATACTGTATAAGAGAAATGTATATACAAGCCGGGATCCCATTCATTATCTCGTCCCGGCAAACGTCCCGTCCCGCCTCTCATATATAAACAGCTCCTAATTAAGAGCTACAATCTTGAACGCGGCACAGGTTTTTCCCATGCATGTACTCCCCACTCCCCCCCCCGTTCAATGTTGATTTACTTAAAATTAATAGCTAGAAATCTAGGACAACACTCCTATGATTGATACAAGATTGAATGGGGAGGGGGCCACCGTCGTTATACAATGTGGCAAAAGTTAACGTAATTGAAAACTTGCGCAAGCGCTTAATCGTTCCAGTATGAACTTATGGCCTACGGTTTTTGGCCAAGACTGTAGAAATTGGTCAATCGTACTACTTATGTGTTGATACTTTGAACCAACCATAACAGTAGATAATTTTATTAGAAATTTAAGTGATCAATTTGATCGAATCCTCGAAATGGAAAAGTTCACTATATTTATTGCAAGAATGGTACGTATATTCAAAACCTCAATTTCGGATTTGAGTCAACTTTTTCAGTTTATGTTTGAAAATATTACTGAGTTACCGGATGATGCTCAGGTTTCGCTCTTGTGGATCCAAAAAAACACATTGATAGAATATTAAATTATTATTTTAAACAACTTACTAAAGAAGATGTAAATGTTATCTGCTTCATACATCTTGCCTGGATCGCTGTTATATTTATATGTTACTTCAGTAGAATCGTATTGCCCATTCTTACATGTGTGTAAAACAGTCGTTTCTGAAACATGGAAATTGGAAAACAAATGTGAGCTATTGAGAACATTAACGCGTAAAGGTAAAATCTCGGTATGACTATAACGCAATTATATCGAATAGTATATCGTTTATAACTAAAAAATAATATTGTTTATGTCTTTATATTAAATCTTATATATTATCCATACCAGAACGTCCTGGATCACAAAAGGAATTAATACTTCCATTTCTAATTTTATTTATCAAATCATTCCTCGTTCCAGTCCATTTCCGCCGGAAAATATGCTCATTTCTTTCGTTATTCTGTCTAAGATATCCATCCAATAGATTTGAAGTAATTTTTGAAGTTGGGCACGTGAACTGTTGCTCATCATATAGGTCCACATCAGGTATGACCAACCAGTTGCATTTGCAAGATAATCTAGATTAGAAAGTCAGAATTTGAAACAGTGCCTTTTTAACTATATATCTGGGGGGGGGGGGCAATTGCCCCCCCAGGGAAAGAATTTGCCCCCCAGTAAAGCCATTTCTGCCCCCGAAGTGCGAAGCAGAATTGCTCATGATTGCTGTCAGAATTGTAGTTGATTTACTTGATAATGAGATTATGCCCTTCCATAGCCTCCTCCACAGCCATCTTGTGTGTAATTCATATTGTTCTTCACCGAGTATTTCATAATAGCGATAGATTTCATGCAAACAATCCGATAAAATGCTAGCCTTTCCAAGCCTTGCGACTATTTCCTAGCACTCTCCTCCGCAGAGGCGTTGTGTTTTGTTAGGTTTTATTGCAAAATTTGTTTCTTAAAAATATCAAGTTATATTAAGAGCCCCCCCCCCCCAATCGCCACAAAAACCATTCTCTCAGAAAGGATAAATCCGTAGAGAAATTGGGTGGGGGTGGGGGTGGGGTACACGTTACATGCTCGAAGCTGAAACTGATTAAATACGTTTCGACTGAGGAAAAAGACGATATACTGGAGGAACTTGATTTGTGTGAAATCTCGTTAAAGCAGTTGTAGATATGGTTCCACGAAGATTAGATTTAGTTTAGATTTTTAACTGCTAAATACATGTATGCATCATCATAGCATGAATATTTCTTCTCAGACTTATTCTGTATCGTATGAAAAAGCAACACAACTTTTAGAATGCGGAAATGGTGTCTCATAGAACCTAAAATGATTTAAATGCAACATTTCTGATCAAAATCACATTGGGATCCCCCCCCCGGCATCACAGAGAGGAAATAAGGTGACACTGACCCCTACTCCTATTTTTCAAGGTGACTTTTCCAATTTATTTAATTCCGAGTAGAAATGTCTGGAAATATTCTTGTCTTCGATGTACTTTATAATCTTCGGAATTCTGCAAGATTTAACCCCCAAAATCATGCATGAAATCGCAATTCAGGGACCCTAGATTTCATAATTTTCCGGACCCCGGACCCTCCTAGACGGTCTCACAGGTTCGCCCCCGCAAAATTAAGGTTTGGCTACGCCACTGGTTATAGCTGTACGATTATAGCTACAAAGAGTTGAAGTTATTGTTTAAAGTAAAATATAGCTGAAGTTAATAAATTAAAGTTTTACAACAAAATCTCTCTTCAGACTCGCGCCAGTCGCGCGTTTGCCAAACCTCGACGGCTCACATTTTTCGTTCTGCCTTTTTTCTGTTTTGCCCCCCCCTTCCCCCCCCAGTGAAAATTCCTTAAAAAAGGCACTGAAATTCGTTGCCAAGTTCAAAAGTTCATAATGAATTTCACAAATAGGTTTGTAAACATAGCCTCTGATTGGCTATTAAATCAAACCAGCCAATCAAATGCTCAGTTTATAAACCTGTTTGTGAAGTTCGGAACGAAATTTTAGTGAAAAGTAAGCAACATTTTAGGGGAAAGTAAGTTGAAATTGACTGTAATGATAACTGACAAATGCAACGCTGATCAACGACGATCTATAAGATCTTGTGCTACCTTAAAAAAACAAGCAGAAACTCGACGTTTCGAGCGAAGGCCCTTCGTCAAGAGTTAGTAGCGGCCCTTCGTCAAGAGTTGGCTACTAATTCTTGACGAAGGGCCTTCGCTCGAAACGTCGAGTTTCTGCTTGTTTTAAGGTAGTAATATAACCACTCAGCACAGCATTTTCACATTGGTACTACCTACACTGGTACAGACAGTTTTAGATCTATAAGATCGGCGATCTATAACTTTATTAAGGGTAAAGTGTTTTAAACTTATTGATGTTGTACAAATTTACGTGCTTAATCCTGAATTCCTGTAAATGTAAAATAGGATTAAAATAGTGTATTTTATTATATTTTGCAAATTAGGGAAAGTAAATAGGTTTAAAATAGTATATTTTATCCCTATTTGAAAAGTGTGGCATTTTTTAAAATGTGAAATAGGTTTAAAATAGTCTACTTTAGTCTGTTTTGTGTATTCTAAAAAATAAATAGCTTTAAAATACTATATTTTATATCTATTTTAATTTATGTAATTTTCTGCACGTGCAAAATATGTTTACAATAGTCTATTTTATTGTTATTTTGCTAACGATGAAAGAAAGATAGGATTAAAATAATATATTTTATTCCTGTTTGAAATTTGGGCATTTAACTTGCAATGTAAAATAGGATTTAAACAGCCTATTTTATTTTATGAGTTTAAAAATAGTATATTTTATATCTATTTTAATTTCTAACTGCTTTCTAGTGAAGTAAAATAGAATTTAAATAGGCTATTTTAATTATCACTTATTTACTGAGACCGAGGGAAACAGTGTGTTTTGTGGACCCAAGACCGTCGACGGTCGAGGGTCCACAAAACACACTGGCACTGCTTTCCCGAGGTCTCAGTAAATAAGTGTTTTATTATATATCAATAGTCAAAGAAACAACAAATTAAAGAACAAATGGACGTAAATACATGAAATATTTTATTGTTAAAACGTTATATTAAACACTGGCTACACTGCAGTTACTTAAAGCGAAAGTTTTAATTACGTACTAGGCATGTCCAAAGCCAAGGTCGCATCTTCACGTGATGGCGCACGTGATTTTTTTCTGTTATTCGCCGGTCGATAACGTACGTATTATCTCCCTCTCGCGCTGTTGCGAGGGAGACAGCCTAATTTCGTCACTCTCACGTGATATGCTCTCAACCAATAAAACACTAGAAAATGCGACTTTGACCATTGATATATAATAAACCTATTTTTTCGCTGAGGCTCTGGAAAATAGTATTAAAATATACGATTTTATTTATATTACCTATAAAAATAGGAATAAAATAAAGTAAAACATTAATAAAATATGAAATATTATGATAGAATTAAAATAGGGTTGCCTCTCGATAAAATAGCATAAAAATAGGGGTGATAGTAATAAAATAGTTTTAAAATAGCAATATAATATATATAGGATATTAGACGGTTGCGAAGAGATATGGATTTTATGTTCGAGTGGCAAAAACAATATCTCACGAGTGAGCGCAGCGAACGAGTGAGATATTGTTTTTGACACGAGAACATAAATCCATATCTTCTCGCAACCGTTTAATGTTCTGTCTATTATATGGACTTAAGGCGGTTTTCCAGTCCTCGCACGAAGCTTCTCGCAGCTCGCTGCGAGTGCTTGCATCTAATTAAAATGAACTGTTTAGCATTGTGATTGGATGAAAGTGCTCATGCATCACTCGCAGCGAGCGCTGCGAGGAGCTTCGTGCGAGGACTGGAAATCCGCCTTTATTCAGAGTGACAAAAATACACACAAAGACGACATGTAAATAAGCTCGTCAAAGACCTGCAGTAATGCAGTATAAAAGCGATATTTTTTATAATTGTAGTGCAAACATAAAACTAGAATAAATTTTACTTATCTCAAGATGTCTTTTAAATGTTTTCGTTTTATTTCCAACGTTAATTTCGTTTTATATACGAACCAAAGACCATTTGTATTTTCAAAACAACAACAATGAAAATGGCGGGAAATTTTCGAACTTCGTATGTCACTAGCAGGGGTGAAATACGGAAAATACGCGCACCTGGTCCCGGATGTAGTGACGTATAAGTTCTACGAGTGTTTTAGTTTCCAGTAAAACACCATTGTCCATATAATAAAGTTATTTTCGCAAGGGTAATTAATATCATATTCAATTAGGGACTCGATACAGTTATCGAAAAGTTTAGGTGTACAAAATTTAAAAATTTTTCAACTTTGTATTTTTAGGTTTATGCAGGAGATATCGGACTGGTCATGTTTTTTAATATTTCCTCTTTCAAATTAAGTCAAATTAACACACCCATAGTCCATAGGAACTGATTCACATTAAAATGGCCTGTTGTTTCGTGTAATTCGAAAAGAAGCGTGCGACGACCCACAATAATGACACATTTTTAATTAGTAATAAAAAAAAGAATGTAAAATTTGAACATAGGTTAATGGACAAAATAAAGCGATATAGCGCATTGTTTTTCTAAAATTGGATTTTTTAATGACGCACGTCAGATCAAAATGAAAGTTTGAATTATTTCGTTAATTAATATTTCCGTGGCCATGAATGGTCCCGTGGGATTTTTCATATAGATGATAAAGTTTTGTCTTTGCAATTCTTGTATATTAAAAGGATTTTCCAAGGATTGATATATCAAGCCTAACGTATTTACTTTGCCTTGGAGTGATTTCCTCTTGTGAAAATCGTGATTGTAACAGAATGAACATTACGTCATACATAACAAAAGTTTTAGCCAGTTCAGCAGATATTTGAGCAGTAAGGCCAAGCACGAGAAAAACGGGAATGTTCCAGGTCAAACGATAGAACACGGAAGCTATTGCATAATTTTGTGAATCCGCTGCCAAAACATGAAAAAGAGCGTGAAATAGAACAATGACGAAATAAACACGAAATAAGCCTTCTGCATGACGTCCTACGATACTACTAGGAACAATACCACTGGACAATAAGATCGAAGGGGCCGTAAGGCTCACAATGAGCTGAACAAAGCCAAGGAGTTGAAATATCGCGTACTGATGTGGCCTTAGGGAAAAGCGACTTATTGCCGACCAGATATGTTGAAAAAATTTGATTAAGGATGAGTCTGTATTCTCTTCCGCCCAGATAACATAGGTTACAATAGCTAGCGTGCTGTCAAGTGCACTTATCATCCCAGCAAAACGGGCGTTGAGTATTCCTTGGCTATATAATACTATTAAAACTCCGTTGACCAACACCAGTCGATTAAACACAGTTACAAGCAAAGGCCCGGCATTTGGCACTTGACTAGCTTTATTTCTGGCCAAAACCACAAGACATAAGCCTATGTCAACCATTCCGGACCCAACGAGAATAAAAAATCCTCTACCGCCGGCGCCAAAATCCATATGTAGAATCATGTTCCAGAGATCAGGTGCGAAGGTCATGGTTAGTCCCGCGATAAAATACGCCAGAAAAGCAGATATGAATGTAAAGCTTTGAGTAGAGGTCAGCGGTAGTTCAGGTGGTATAGACAACATCTTTTTTATAAGGTCCATTGCTTAAAGATATGAAATAGAAATAATTTTTGCAAGTGTGGAAGAATGCTTGCAACGTGGAGTGCAAGTGAGCAATCGATTTGCTTAAATTATTTCCTAATTGAAAGTTATGCGTAGAAGCTCATGCGTAGAGATAAATGTACAAATGAGAAATAATCGTGTATATGTTGTTTGCGCTTGTTCTTTTAAGTGTAAGTGTTTGTGAGTGTATGCAACACACTGTACACAGTGCACCTAAAACTTGGTAATATTCTCAAGTTTTGCACAAAAAATATTTCTCTTCAAATTTCACCATAACCTTTTAATCCTTCACAGTTGTGGATTTATAGGGAGGGTGGACAAGGGTGTGCACCTCTTCTGGCCTTGGTCAGGGGGTGCAAATTTATCTTAGACCAACCTAAGTTTTGGAACTCAAGGCATGCGCAACCGCAGCACTAGTTCAAAATACCCAATATTAATAATTAATTTAATTTTTGATTGTTATGTTGACTGTTGAGGTCTGGGGGATTCATATTTTATATAATTTTTAAATTATATTTATTTAGCATATCTCTAAATTGTACATGTAACCAAGAAACCACCAGGTCCACTTTCATGACAGTGTGATTCAGGTCATCGCCGCCAGTGAACTGGGTTCGGTCTGCTTGGCTGCTCCCCCAGCACCCCCTTAAAAATCTTGCTGTATCCACCACTGATCCTTCATTTGCGAAACATAAGGATATAACCGGAATTTCCTTGGAAAGTACAAATGACCCCCCAGTATAGGAATGACACTTAGTCAGCTGTAGTTACTGGCCAGCCAGGTTTTAATGATTCACTGACAAGTGAACAGTGCATTTACTAGTGGTTTGTGCATGGACTTTGGACTGTTAAAACATTATTAATTGGTTTGTAATGTATAAGTGATTCAAAATCTAATTGTAATTATTTGTATGAAAATATTCGTAAAGTGTTAATTGAGGATTATGCTCACACTGATATTAATCAATGAAACAAAAATATATATTTTAGTGTAAGGTCAAGTGCACTAGAGTCTAGAAGGAGTTAGTTTGGCTACGATATCGACATTTTTGTAAAGGTTGTTTGGCAATCAGGCAATGCGTTTCATAATTTGTAATAATTGACACAGTGTTAGTGAACGAACTTAACTTAAACAGACTGATAGCTCTTTCAAACCCTTAATATTTATCTTTCTATATTCGTCGGAATAATTATATATTTGTGAAAACCCACAACCGTTTGAGGACTCTCTAAATTATTCTTACTAAATTATGGTATCATAAAATAATTTTAGTAAGACTGAATGTCTGATCGATATGATATTCAGCAAATATTGCTGGATTATGAGAATAGTTGTAAAAGATGTTTGCTGATATATATTTAATTCAGTGATAACTTACCTTCGTCGTTTTAATAACAGCAGTTGGTACAATAATCTCAGTATATATTAAATATGTCAAACGTTTATTTCAATTCTGTTTGTCTTTGTCAATCAAGCATACGAAATCGGATAAAGTGCATTGTTTTTCCTATTAAAGCTAAAATGACTGAACATGAAATCTGATTGGTCGACATGTGATTAAAAGGCCAATATTGATTTGAATAAGCAAATTTCTTTATCTTTGATTTGTCATTCCGGATGTTAACATATAAAACACTAATAACCATTATTGTGGTTATCTTTTCATGTCACGCAATCACATATTTCGTGGTCATAAAGATTTGGAAATATGAAAAATGATTTGTCAGTGGCGATCATTCACTTATTCATTTTCAAAATTTTGTCATCCAATCGTTTGTTATTTAAATAATCTCTAAATATATTTAAGGCAACTTTAGTTGCTTTTTTTATAGTCACTGCATCTTTTCCTTCTAGCAAAGACGCTAAGTCATGCTAGACTGTTTAAATTGTCAATGAACAAAATTAAGCGCCAGTATGCTTCAATTTCTTTAATTGTCATCCCGTTTCTACTAAATTTCCCATGAACATAGAACATATCATTCTTACAAATCGTATGTTTATCATATCGTTTTGGAATTGCTACATTTTAGCGGGCAAATTACGTCACAAACTTGGCACCAAAAAATAAAAAATAAGCTATAGGTGATTTCATGTATCCATTAGAAGAGCAGACTAAGGGTATCTTAAAACTGAAATCGGTTTCGAAATACAACCATTCCTTGATATGACATAAAAGTTCTAAAAATCCGCCATTTTGTTCTATTTTTAGTAACAATATGGCGGATTTTTCGACGCCGGTGAAGGCTATTTCCACTGAGCTGTAATATAGTATAGCTCAGTGGCTATTTCAGATACGGTAGAGCACCTAGTCCCCAGGTCTTTACCGGCGCGACCGGGAAATTCAATATGGCGTCAAGCTAAGGAGTGGAGTGTAAATGGAGTTTATATTCTATATTTTCTATTGTTGTTTTTTAATCTTTTTATTCTTTTTGGTTGGTAGAACTTATATTCTGAATTGCCAGGTATCTTACTCTTTATCTGATTAATCTGAAAAAAGATTTTATAATAGAATTTTTCTCAAACATAGTTATATGTTTCAGTGAATTATGTTTTAAAAGTGAAAAATAGATTTTTGATAAGAAATTTTTGTCACTGAACTTTTGTTAATTATAGTTTCGACTTCAATTTTGACAATTGTAATAACAGCTTAGTTTATATGCCATATTCCACAGAATCTGCAGCTATCTTGTTATTGTATTTATCTAGCCTGGCACAGACCGTTCAAGATTGCACTGTTTAGTTAGCACCAACACTAACAGTCATGGTGGCAGGGATGGATCCAGCATGATCTGGTAGGGGGGGGGGATGCCTAGTTATGTTGGTCATGTGCGCCACCCACCCATCAAATTACAAGTCAAGTCTTGCTTGATTACTGTATTTGAATTGTAATTGTTGTTCACAGTTCACTTATTATGATGTTATATTACTCAAATTACAGTATCTCATTTGGTCTCTAAAATTTTTTGCTTTATGATGAAAAATAGCACCCCCCTAGCCAGGGCTAGGGGGTGCACCCCCCCTCCCCAGTAAATCTATCCCAGCATTTGTGATCACTTTTAAGTTCTTATGATTACTATCATTGATTATGTGATCACTTTTAAGTTCTTAAAAACAATATCTTACTCTAAATCACTGAACTTAAAATCTAACTTTACCCAGAAATAGTTAAATACTTTGCATTCTATGGAATACAAGGCTCATTTGTAGCCTGCTGTTTGCAATGAGTAAAATTAACATTGTATTATGTAATGTAATCTTCAAAAATTATGAAGGGGCCTCAGAACTCCTCTCCCAACTAAAGAAACACATTAAAGGTGATGGCTTAGTTCATTACACCCCTACTGTTAAATTAATGACAAACATGAGATTGATCATAAACTTTGTCTCCACTATGTGTTCTTTTATGTCTTGTTGAAGTACTTCATGAATATCTGATTTCTTTACAGATATGACTTTCATTAGGTTTTACTCTATTATGTGTTCTTTTATGTGACAATAACTAAATTGTTTGATGTTGAATGTTTGTTGCAAATCTTATTCTTATTGTCACACTCACTTAGTTTTTCAACAGTGTGCTCATGCACTTATGAGCTTTAATGAGTGTGAAAATGTTCTTAGCAATTAGCCTCATATACAGGATGTGCTTGTCTACATCATGACTTGTTGCAGTGTATGTTGTTTAACAAATTTGCCCATGTTGGTATGTTTGCCAAAATCATAATATTTTTTCACAATGTCAACATGGTATTCTCATATTCATAAGGTAATTGTGAGTGTGGTGGTGCCTTTAGTCCATTACTCCCCTCCCTCGCTCTTGCTAAACATCTGCCTATAAGGGGACTAGCTAACAGTCGTGGGTCGTGGGTAGAATGTCGTGGGTCGTGGGTAGAATGTCGTGGGTCGTGGGTAGAATGTCGTGGGTCGTGGGTAAAAAGTCGTGGGTCGTGGGTAAAAAGTCGTGGGTCGTGGGTAAAAAGTCGTGGGTCGTGGGTAAAAAGTCGTAAGTCGTGGGTAAAAACGCGTGGGTCGTGGGTAAAAACGCGTGGGTCGTGGGTAAAAACGCGTGGGTCGTGGGTAAAAACGCGTGGGTCGTGGGTAAAAAGGCGTGGGTCGTGGGTAAAAAGGCGTGGGTCGTGGGTAAAAAGGCGTGGGTCGTGGGTAAAAAGGCGTGGGACGTGGGTAAAAAGGCGTGGGTCGTGGGTAAAAAATCGTGGGTCCCGAATAAAAAGTCGTGGGTTCCAAGCAAAATATTTCCATATATTTACCTTTCTCCCTTTGGAATGCGTGTTTTTTTTCTTCTGAGGCTTTCCCAAATATACATAGTCTTAGAGCGCGTTAAGGCCAGGTTTTTGATATCGGCAGATCGGTTTATAAATATTATAACCAAGTGTGGATGAAACAGTTCAACTTCACGCCCCATAAAGCTCAAATGGTGAAATGTATCGCTATATCTTCCCATAAAATAGTCGTATTTAGAAACAAATTTCAGTTTCAGTACCCTTAGTCTGCTATTCTAAATGGATTTATGAAATCACCAATAGTTTATTTTTAATGTTTTGGCGCCAAGTTTGTAACGTAATTTACACACCAAAAAGTAGTAATTCCAAAAACAAAAAACATACGATTTGTGGGAATGATAATGATATGTTCTATATTCATGGGAAATTTGATAGAAACAGGATGAAAATTAAAGAATTTGAAGCATTTTGGTGCTTTTGCATGCATTTTTGACAGGCGTGTTGCAGCCTTCTTTTTACGTACGTATTCCATGTAGAGCAGTGGTGGTGCCAGAAATTTCCCGACGGAGGGGCTATGTTCCCAGACGGGGGGGGGGGCTATGCAAATTTTTTCATGGTTAAGCGTGCAATATATACTAACATATTTTATATACTTAACCCATTGAGTGGCAATGCACCCCAATGCAGCCTACTTTAGTATTTTACTCTGTCTAACGCCACACGATTTTACTCGTCAAGGGAAGAGCGCTGGCGCTTAATGGGTTAACCGGCCTATCTGCCCATGTGTCTGATTAACCCATTGAGTGGCAATGCACCCCGATGCAGCCTACTTTAGTATTTTACTCTGTCTAACGCCAGACGATTTTACTCGTCAAGGGAAGAGCGCTGGCGCTTAATGGGTTAAAATATACAATTAAGCCAGCATGATGCGTTCTTTATAAAATGTACGGATCAGTATATTACGGAACTCATCGAACTGTGGAAATGCATAAAAAATTTGTATCGCCGCGTCACTCCCACAAACGTCTTCGACCACACCTACATATTTTTGCATGTTTACAATTCTAATTTTAAACAGCCAATCAACGTTTAATTGTAATTGTTACCACGAACCGGATTGGCAGTTTAAAATTAGAATTGTAAACATGCAAAAATCTATAGGTGCGGTCGTAGACGTTTGTGTGAGTATCAGGCTTATCCAGCTCAATAGTTACGGGTGCCTGACGACTAGACACGTGAAGATCTTTGTGTTTAGATTTTGTGTGTTTCCCGACTTAGTTGTTTTGAAAAAGCTAATGACAACTGCGCAACAAACTTTAAAGCATACGGCCTTTGCCATAAAGAATATGTAACCAGCAAATACGGCCAAATACGTTTTAGAGCTAGTATTGCTTTCCGATTTCCAAATTGGAGATGATTGCCGGTTCACGTAAAAATATTCTGCAGAATACTTATTTCATGTAGAAAGTCGTCGATGTCCTCTTGAGTGCGCCAAGCGAGATAGACTAAGATATCTTTACTGTATATATAAGTTATTTACATAAAATGCGCAAGTGTACGTTGGGTATCGTTCCATGTTTCACGCACCAGTACAGGTTAGGGTTAGGGGTTAGGGTCAAAGGTTAGGTTTAAGGTTAGGATTAGGGTGTGTATATGTGTATATGGATATATTCAGTTCACTTTACAGTACACTATAATATCCATTACATAACTATATTGGTGTGCGAAACATGAAACGATTACCTGTACGCTTATATATGCTATGCGAAAGTTACATTTAGAATACGAGGAAATTATAATGTTGTCATTTAGCGTACTATATTTGTGTATTGATGACTAAAGTTACTAAACAGTTTTGTCCGCATGCTGCAATACCCATGCATATTGCATGTGCAATACCATTGTGTCAGCAGAATGAATACCTATGCATATGCAATACCATTGCATCAGCAGAATGTTCGGAATGTCTGGTAGGTAAGCGAACTTGCATAACACGTGTACTATGTTAAATTACGCTCTACAACCTCGTACGGCGGTATCCAGGGCGTGCGAAGGTAAGACCCGGGTACGAGATTGCTACACACTACAGTCGCACCTTGCTAGGGAGAACGAGCATGGCGACAAGATCGTGCTTTTCGAAATTCCTTCAAATTTTTTCTCAGTTTTCCCCGACGAATCTATTAATTTTCCCCGACCGGGGGGCTAGGGCTCCCCGACAGGGGGCTGTAGTCCCCCCCCCCCTTGCCCCTCCTTGGCGCCACCACTGATGTAGAGCTCCCCCGCGATAGTTCTTCCAATAGGCAAAATACATGGTTGCAGCGCAGACAAGTGGCTAGTCACCTTCAGTTTTGTTCATTGACATTGTTCTGTTCTGTTTGTATTATGTATATATTAAAACTAGAAAGTGAAAGCTAATTTTGCCAAAGCATTATGAAAGTGTTGGTGGGAGTGAACACTCCAGGCCCCTGCTGGACCAAAACTTTGAAAAGTTTATAGCCCCCTCCCTTCGGTATATCGAGAACTTTCAAAGCCCCCCTAATGCCTGAAAATATTATTGGTGCCCCCCCCCCCCTTAAAATCTTCATCCCCTATAATAAATGTACTTTCCCTTCGCAAACAATGTCGATGTTGTTGACAAATTCACCCAAGCAATCGATAAAGGAGAATACACAATAGGTATCTTCCTCGACTTGTCAAAAGCCTTTGACATAATTAATCACAAGATTCTAATTCAAAAACTAGAATACTATGGTATACGCGTAATAACAAGACAGTGGTTTGAAGATTATTTAAAAAACAGAAAACAGTTAAATATAACCAAGTTAAATCAAAAGCAATGATAATTAAAAGTGGTGTCCCACAGGGGTCAATTCTTGGACCAATTTTATTTCTTCTCTATATCAATGATATTGAAAATTGTAGCAAATTATTTTCATTTATATTATTTGCAGATGACACTATTAAATATATTCTATAGTAACAAGTGTCCAAAAACACTTAATAAGATTGTGCAAACTGAAATTGATAAAGTTGCTGAATGGTTAAATGCAAATAAGTTATCTCTAAATACTACATAAACAAAAGTAATATTATTCCAATCTTCAAATAAAAAAACAAAACAAAACATTAAAATTAACATTAATGGTAATAATATTGAACAAGTTAGAAGTACAGCATTCCTTGGTATTGTCATTGACGAATGTTTGAACGTGGAAAGACCATATAGCTAAGGTAGCAAAGAAATTAACTAGCTGCTGATATAATAGCTAAAGTACGACATTTCGTAAACCAAAATATCAAGCCCTGATCGAGCAACGCGATATGTTACAAGGGGCACGTTCTCTGTAATAAACCTAACATTTTATTCGCCTTATGCAATTTGAATGATGTGCATATTGATTCCACGATAACTTTCTTGTCACAGTAATTCTAAGATCAACCTCTCTATCCACACGCACCAGTTCCGTTAAACCAACGCGGTACTTTGTTTCAATCGGGCTTTTTCGGCGCGATGTTGTCAGAACTTTACGCTTAGATGCGTTGAAGTCAATATTGGTTTGCTTGCTCCAATCGTCAGTGTGCGACAATGATTCCTGTAGATGGTCACAATCCTGGCGTGATCTTATTGCTTTATACAGATTTGTATCGTCAGCATACAGACCGGTTGATGTTGATGTAGGAATGATGTCAGGGAGGAGGGTGGGAAAGGGGGGTATGGATCACGTTTCACAACGAAAAAAAAGCCATTTCACGATTCACGTGTCTTAAAAAAGCAATTCCACGGAAAACTAGATTCTAATAAAATAATATTATAATAATAGGTTTATCAAGAGTATGTTTAATGCAGGGGCGGATCTAGACCGATGCCAGCGATGCGAATGCATCGGTCAAAATTGAGAAATCATGATTCATGTTGCTTGAAATATATAGATATATAATGTCGCCAATACTCAAAGCACTCAGTAATAAAATATCTCCTATCAACCGGACATCATCAAATCTATTGTTTTAGAGCCCTACGTCACGTTAGATTTGGCCGCTGAGCGATGCATCGCATGCAGATTGCGGGCGCTCGCATCGGTCCACTGATGCAAATTGCAAAATCAAATCTACTGTGACGTATTAAAGAGGCATTCGATTCAAGTCATGGCGGCAAGGATATTTGGATATGCAAACACTATATGCAAATTAGACAAATAATACGAAGAGAAACGCGCAAATCTT